CAGTGAAGGTCCAGTTTTTCCTTGAAAATATTCACTGATGGGGCTGATACCACTTGTTCGGGCAAGGCGTTCCAATCATTAGCTACTCGATGAGAAAAACGGAACCCCACCTTAAGTTTATTAGATCGCGGTTTATGAACCTTCTTGCTATGACCTCTGAGATTATTAGTGCTGGAGGGAGCAAAAAAATAAGACATAGTAACACCCAAATCATAATTGAAGATACGAAATGCCAGTATAAGGTCACCTCGAGTCCTACGATACGACAAGGGGAAAGGGTTTAGGCGTTTTAAACACTCATCGTAAGGGAGTTTAGAAAGACCCTTCACTAGTTTCGTTCCCACACGCTGGACACGCTCAAGTGAGTTAGTATCCTTTACCAGACATGGGCTAGCTGCTTGAATACAGTACTCTAAATGTGGTCTTACATAGGTGGGATATAAAATTCGAAACATCTCCTCGTCAAAAGATTTGAACGCTCAGCAAAGTGACCATAACGCAGGAAAACCTTTGACAGCGGCTGCGTTGCAATGCATAGTTGTTTTTAGGTCATGACTTATTATTACTCCTAGGTCTTTATATTCTTGAACGCATGGAAGAGGTTTACCATCAATAGTATAATGGTAACTATTGCCGTGACCGATGTGCATTAGCACACTCTTCCTAGAATTTATTTCTAAGCCCCAACCTCGAGCCCATCTAACTAAGTCGTCAGTTTGAAGATTCAGATGATCAGCCTAACTTTTTAATGTTCTCCAGATTTTTAGGTCATCCGCAAATAATAATGTCGACGACCTAAGCAACAGCGGTAACTCATTTACGTAGAGAAGGAAGAGCAGAGGGCCTAAGATTGTGCCTTGGGGTACACCACTTTTGACCGGCTCGTGAGCTTCTGCATAAGACCTAAGTGTGAAACCTTGTCAAATGCTTTGCTAAAATCTATGAATATCACATCGACAGACAGACCTTTATCTAAGGCTGCTGTCCAATCCTCTCTCGCAATAAGTAAGTTATTCAAGCATGAACGCTTGTTACGAAATCCATGTTGCTCAGGAGCTAACAGATTGTGTGAATCTATGTGGCTTAGCAACCTAACCCAAATTATCTTTTCAAGTAACTTAACGACAATGCTAGTTAGACCGACAGGCCGTTAGTTAGATACAATCTGTCTCTGACCATCCTTAAATATAGGACTGACTATAGCATCTTTCCAATACCTAGGGAGTTGAGCGAGTGAAAGGGATATGTTGAAGAGTCTCGCGAGCGGTTTTGAAATAATGTCCGCAAGAGATGACAGCAGCCGTGGATGTAACCCGTCAGGACCCGCTATCTTACAAGGTTTGAGGTTAGTTATCAACGGAAGGACAGTTTCCTCAGTCACCTGTACAGATTCAATGGCTGGTATCTTGGTGTGATTGGGACAAGTATTTGCTACACTCGTAACATTGCATCCCTTCCTCCAAGGAGAATAAGCAATATGGTTGCCCACATTTATGAGCAGATTTGGAGATCTTGAAAATCAACTACAATGGTGATACAAACAGGATATGTAAAAGAATTCTTAAACCTTAACTAAATAAATCAAGTAAAAGTCGACCAAGTATGCTTCGATGCAATAAGTACACAAAAGCAAAATCGAAACACTCAATACAATATCACTCTAACTGGAGTAGATTCAATTAAGGTGTAAACAGTAGTTTTGATGCGTAATTTACGATCAAAACAGTTAATTAACGAGAAATAATACCACTGTCCTTTTAGATAGCGTGCGCTTAATGTAATAAAATTTTTGACAAAATTGGGCCAGAGATGGCCTGGAAAAATTACATCCGACAACGATATTTCACGCCATCGGTGCGGGGTATTGGGAGTAGTTTTCAACTAGCAATAACCGTGCCTCAGATAAACTTTATTGGCTACGGTACCGCCACTGCACAAAGTGATAAGAAATATATGCATGTTTGTTTAATATTTCATAAACCGAAAGTCAGCAAGTTAACGTTGCCGTGTCTATTTAGATAAAAATGTCTAAGACTTTATTAGAACTTACTCTAGAAATGCAACGATCACCCGACCTTCAATTCGAACACTAGGTAATTAAATATCCAATACGGAAGTCCAATCATCAGATCCCGATAAGTGTATTGAGGACAGAAGGCCTACAACATGTTTCATTCCTTTTCTAGTATGCTTCTGTGAATGCGTGAGTCTTCTCTTGAATGAGTAAAGGACCTAGGAAAGAACCTCCAGGTACCCCACTATGTATTGATTTCCAAGTGGAGCACGCGAAATTTACTCTCACTTTCTGTCTACGACCTATCAAGAAATTCTAAATCAATTTATGGAAAAGTATGGCAACTTTTAGATTTCCCAGCTTCAAAAGTAGTCTATTTTTGGCACCTTATCAAATGTTTTGCTCAAGTCTACGCAAACAACATTCACTGATTTTCCATTGCCTAAGGCATCTATCCATTGCTTCCTTACTATAAAGAGGCTTGTCGTGCAAGATAAACCTTTTCTGAAACCATTTTGTTCGCTGTTTAACAAGTTGTTGATTTCCACAAATGTCACTATTGTCTTTTGACTATTCTTTCCAGTATTTTAATTTCAACACTGATGAGGCTGACAGGTCTGCAGTTCGATGGCAGATTTTTTGGTCCTGTTTTATGCACTGGAGTGATGAATGCATCTTTCCGGTCCGTAGGTAAGACACCATGATCAAGTTAGTTATTGAATGTCAAGGTTAGTGGGGATGCAGTATATTCTGCAACTTGTCTCAGGATTTTGGGGCGTAGTTCATCCGGTCTTGTTGACTTTTCCGTGTCTAAAATACGTTGTCAAACTGGCCAAAAATGCGCTTCAATGTTACCAGTGCAAGGTCTGCTCGAAAGGCATTTTTATCACAGGAGTTTCCTAAGTTGTAACTGTAAACTGCAATATGTCGAAGATGGACTACTTTACATGATGAAGTGTTAAAGGCAAGTTCGTTATCGTCTGCCCAACTTTGAAGTCGAGTCAGATCCTCCTAAAGTGCCAGTATATTCCCTTGATTGCGCATCTCACTCCAAAGTTCCGTATCAGCAAAGAGTAGTAAGTCTGGCGATACATGTTGTGGAAGTTTATTTATAGAAGTTAAGAAAAGAAGAGGTCTCATTACTGGGTCTTGGGAGACCTCATTAGGACATTCCGAAGCCTAAAAGAAGGTTAAGGTAACCCTGACCTCAAAATTTCGGTTTCTTTATATATGGAATGAGCCAGTCAATTAGAAGTTGTCTGATACCCAAGCGTCTAAGCTTATTGATAAAACAACTCCACATTAAGCCTTTTCAAATGTTTGAAACCTAGTATTCACAGTCCTGTTTCTCCAACCAAATATTCACAAGGCATTTGTGAGATCTAATTTCAAAGTTTTATCTGTAAAATTACCCCCATATATACACTTTTAGTTTGTTCCGACTGATTCCTTTAGTTGTACATTTTGTTAGTCGTGTTTTATTCCCTTTGTGATGGTAATATTCACATTTTATTGTAGTTTGTTCGCCCCCCCCCTTTGATTGTGTTGCTTGTATTAACTGGAATTGTGCATTTTTGATTGTGAATTGAAACACTGTTTTATATAAAGCAACCAAATATTACCCAATCACCTTGTTTTTTGTTTCAACTGGACAGTAGTGCGTATCTAAACTGCCTAGACAGTTACTCTTCAGTCCAAACCTTAGTTTGGATTCTACACATGCATGAAGAATTAACATCTCTTATAGGCGATTCACAGCATCTTGATATGGACAGACTGTGTACATATTGAGACTTCAGTGGGTCTTACCACAACGTTAGGATCCAAAGATTTCAAGTTCTTGATTGAAATGAATGACTCTATACTACCTGTGTCCCCAATCAAGTCATAAATCGAATCAGGGGAATAAACCGTAGTACTACAAACTGACTGAATGTGTCCAATCTCACCACATTTAAAATACTTTATGAAATATCTAAACAGTTAGTTATGTTAAAAATGAGCGATAATGTGTTACTGAAGCCAGGTGGACAAAGAGCGACTAATTTCAATTGACTCATGATTTCAACTATTGAAATTACTGAAACCTCCACAAAACCCCTTCTGATACTATTTTATTTTAGTTTATCCAATGATGTCGTTTACTGTACGGTTACTTTTGAAAATGAAATATGTAATACGTTATAATTCCCATTGGGTTTCATTGACCTACAGATTGAAGCAGTCAAATAGTATTTACAACTTCAGGAAATCTATAAATCAATGAGAAAATAACTCATCCGTTTGAGAATATGGAAGATTTACTGATAATAAAAATCTTTTTACCTCATCCGTACATATCCTACAAGGAATGAATAATAAGCAAGATCACTAATAATCTCAATAGGAAACATCCTTAAAATCCTGAAATATAATACCCTGGAGGTGCATACTGGGAGTATAATGCCAGATGAATTATTTCACTGGATACTGAAATAATAATAACAGTTTCACTGATAATTTATTACAAGTTGAAATAAATCACTCATATAATACAACCAACAATATCGAAGAATTAGATTATGTTTACAGTTATTGTTAATATGATTATTTGTTTATTGTGGAAGTGAATCCTTGTAAAATAATCTCACTTACTACTTAACCTTATGTATCCATTAATTACTTATAACCCTCTTTATTAACTCTAGTGACTAAAATAGCAAACAAAATACAACAGAACTAAGCAGTCAACCTATCTGAAAAATCACATTTAAAAAACACTAAAGAATAACTATACTTTTATACACTAACATTAATGATATGTGAATTTTTTCAAACAATGCACAGTTCATAGAATAAACATTTTAGCTTCGAGAAAGACAAAATAAAGCAAGTGCATATACCTTACAAAAGATGTGAATAACCAATAGAAATTACACAAAAACAAAACAACAACAATAAGGACATCACCAGTGATACCAATAGGAACTACTTATTGTATTTTTCTTTAAAGTTTACATAAACAAAAGAGGATTGGTAGAAATGCTCCAACCGATACTATAATAGGTAAAATTAAATAGGAATAGTCGACAGAAGCATAAGGATCTTTTGCTCTTGGTGTTCTAGATGGTCGCTGTTGAATTGATTCCAGGTCTTCTTCTTCTTCATCATCATCAGAATCAGATAACTTATGAGGATGTAACACCTGTTGATCAAATGTTTCCACTTCTTCTAACGGTGGTAATTGAGGGACATCTAGGTAATGGAAAGATACTTAAACTGATTTACGACATATTGAATTTATACTGGGAACAGAAGCTTGTAAACACTAGTTACCTAATAATTTACTTCAGCCGAAAAACACGTTAAAAATCAGGTAACAAATCAACTGAAATCAAAAGGAACAACCATACGATTCCGACACAATGATCTAAGTATCGTGTCGCATAAAGTAAGTTTTGAGAGTATTCAAGCTAAACTAGATCCCTTAATTCGGTATCAAAAACGATCTTGTAAGCATGGTTTCTAAACATCTCTGTATAAATCATAAGATGATAAGGGATAAGTGAACAAATGAATAACTCCACACTTATCACAAAGTGATGTATTGATAACTTCTTTTTAGAAAAACTGTCTACAAAAAATAATACTATATTAGAGAACAACCACATGCTTAATTCAATAAACAAACCATATGCTTACATGAAACCCTATTAGTATTTGGACACAACTACAATAGACACAAAGCAGTACCTCTGAAGTTGTTCGTACAGCTTAAAAACTATGCAATGAAATCCCTAAACCCATGAAATTCAATAATTCAACGAATGTTAAAGAGACGAAACTACATTTGTCTAGATTGACATCTAAGATAACATGTGAAAATTGATACCCTAAATAAAACTGCTTTAAGCACTCGGTAATAAGCTTCAGTCATTGTAGAGCCTCACCAGTTTGTTTGTAAACAGCCATTGAACGAAACTGTTTTTCAAGGATTATGGTAATGCCCACTTTAATAAAGCACACAAATGATTAAGCTTCATGACATAATTCCACGATCTTAAATAGTTATACAGAATCTTTCTGAAAATTAATAATAATAAGACAACCAGTAATGATATCAAATATAAATGTTTGGCAATAATTACGAAACTCCGCTGAAATGCAGGTCAAGACAGCCAGTGTAGCAACAACCTCTACATCAGTAGGTCTCAACATAAACAGTGGAAGGGACAAAGTCCTCAAACACAACACAGAGAATATAAACACAATAACATTTGATGGGGAAACAGTGGAATGTGTGGAAAGTTTCACATAATTAGGGAGCATCAAGGAGTATGTAACTCCGCCTGTAGCTCTTCTAGAGTTACTGCCGGCCCCAAGCACGGATAAAGGAGGAGGGTTGGGCATGGGGTTAGCGTCCACATCCCGTAGAAAACTAACTCGCTAAAAAAACGCTAACCAGAAAAATTAACTCAAACCATTTAAACTCTGCCCTGGGAGTTAGAAGGTCTTCATTTAGAAGAAATATGACGCCTCAGGGTGAAAGTCATGAGGCCGATGCCCCTTCTAACAACCAGAGCAACAATTTTTATAGGTACATGGAACGTCCGGACAATGTGGGAGACCAGAAAGACCAATCAAATAGCAACGGAAATGAGGAGATACAACTTGGCAGCACTGAGAATCAGCGAAACCCATTGGACCCAAGCTGGACAACAAAGGCTAAATACAGGAGAGATGCTGCTATACTCCGGTCACGAAGAGGAAAATGCTCCACACACTCAGGGAGTTGCTCTAATGCTGTCCAAAGTAGCACAAAATGCACTTGTAGGATGGGAATCTCACGGATCCAGAATCATCAAAGCGTCATTCAAAACAAAGAAGGAGGGGATCACAATGAACATTATCCAGTGTAATGCACACACCAATGATAGCAACGACGAAGTTAAAGATAAATTCTATGAGAGGTTGCAATCAATCATAGAGAAGTGCCCGAGAAAGGACCTCACCATTCTGATGGGAGATCTAAACGCCAAAGTCGGAATAGACAACACCGGATATGAAGATATCATGGGACTGCATGGACTGGGAGAGAGGAACGAAAACGGGGAAAGATTTGTAAATCTGTGTGCATTCAACAAATTGGTCATAGGCGGCACAATATTTCCACACAAACGTATACACAAAGCTACATGGATCTCACCGGACCACACCACTCCACAGAGAACCAGATAGATCACATTTGCATCAATAAAAAGTTACGAAGGACAATGGAAGATGTGAGAACCAGGAGAGGAGCGGACACAGCTTCAGATCATCACTTGGTTGTGGCCAATTTAAAACTGAAGCTAAAGAAGAACTGGACAAACAGCTCTGCAAAGATTCAATACAGCCTTCCTTCGAGATACTGACAAACTCAATGAATTCAAGATAGCTCTCAACAACAGGTTCCAAGCCCTACAGGATCTACTGAAGGAAGAAGATACTACTATGGAGGATAACTGGAAAGGTATCAAAGAAGCATTAACTTCAACGTGTCAAGAGGTTCTGGGCCCCAAGAAGCATCATCACAAGGAATGAATTTCTATAGAAACACTGGACCGGATCAAAGAAAGAAAGAACAAGAAGACAGCAACTAACAATAGTCGAACACGAGCACAGAAAGTTCAAGCACAAGCTGAGTACATAGAAGCAAACAAGCAAGTGAAGAAGAGCATTAGAGCCGACAAGCACAAATACTTACCTACCGTCTTAATCATAATGTTTTCAGCCTTAAACCCCTCTTTAATATTCTTTAGTCAGCTAAATGTCACTATCATCCCTGACCAGTACCTGAAAATGTATACCATTAGTTATCTTCATAGCAGTGATTAACCCACCATAAAAAAACTTTAACTGACTGATTTGCTTGTAACATGGCACTAGAAGTTTCAGTATATTTCTGTAAGGTGTGAATTATAAAGGTCACAATTGAACAATATACATACGCACCACTACCGAAAGAGCCCGACATCAAAAAGGAAGAATTGTGGCGTTACTGACCAACAAGCATAATGATGGGGAAATGTCCTCAATCCACCCATATCTGTAGGCAGAACATTTCGTTTAATTGAGGCTCCATATGGTCAAGTGGGGTGTCACGAACCAATGGCAATGATGATAGTTTCGCGTGCCAAATACCACTCTGACTCATGTTTGTGACCCTGATTGGTTCCACTTCTTACAGAGAAGCTCTTTTACAAGCAAAACCGTACGATCTTAGTCATGAACAAAGAATTCTGTGGCAAGAAGGGCACGGAAAAACGTCAGACTTTTTCAAAGCTCCCCGTCGTTTTGTTTCAACGACCTGACTTGACTTCAAAGTTGGGCAGACGACAACGAACTTGCCTTTAACACTTCATCATGTAAAGTAGTCCATCTGCGACATATTGCAGTTTACAGTTACAATTTAGGAAACTCCTCTCTAGAAGTATCCCGAGTCGAAAAAAATTTAAGAATCCTGGAACCCTACGATTTCAAGTTTTATGCTAACTGTGACAAAAATGCCTTTCGAGCAAACCTTGCACTGGTAACATTGAAGCGCATTTTTGGCCAGTTTGACGGAAGAACTTTCTACATAATATTCAACAGTTTTATTCGTCTTCATTTAGAATACGGAAACATAGTATTTCCTCCCTCACTCCAGAAGGAGAAGGACTCCCTGGAGCGTATCCAACGGCGATCTACGAAATCAGTTCGAGAACTCAAATTCAAGCCTTACAAAAGGGCGCCTCCAATCACATAACCCTTACCCATTACAGTATAGGCATCTTAGAGGTGACCTTCTAATGGCTTACAGTATTCTTAGCACTTCTGGACATCCTCTTAAACACCTACTTAAGCTTAGTCCCAATACTAACCTAGGGGGTAACAACCAGAAATTCGGGATACAACATAGCAGAACGGACAGTAGACATAAGTTCTACTCCTTAAGAGCTGCCGAGTGTTGGAATTCTCTGCCGGCTGAGCTGGTCCAAGCGACTTCCAAGGAGTCCTTTAGGAGGCAACGTGACCTATTCTTAAGGACTAAGGATAATATCTTACTATGATTTACCAATTTCTTTTTCCTCTATTATCATTAATATACCTAGGTTCCTGCCTGGGGATCCGCTGCCACTAGACATAGAGTCCCGTTAAGCGAAAGCTTTATCTACTCAATTCAAAACTACTTGAACTAAATCCTGACTTGAGAGTCCAGGCATTCAGAGCGGTGTTTAGTCCAGATCGGGCCCCTATGGTGTTAGGGACTGATAATAACTCTCACTATGTTGCGGATACAGTCACTATCTGAATGAATGTTATAGATTATAAACATCTGTACTCTGCTCTCAAGCATCATTGTTCTGATGGTCAGGCAGAAACATTTGTAATGACACTGAAATTTGCTATTCATTCTGTTGCCGCCTCAAATTTCAATGAACTGGAGAAGGGAATAGATAAATCTCTACTGAAACATAGAAACCATAAACATTCTGTAACGGAATCATAAGGGAGAATTCTTCGTTTGCATATGAGGTCTTTGAAGTCTGCAGAATTTGCATTATATCAAGGAAGTGATCTTTGACCAGTCACGTGAAATTTAGTGAAGAATGATAAAAACTCGTTGGAGTGAAATGTATATAATAATGATTTAATTGCACACAGCTGACATGTTGATCAACTACATTTCCTGGAAACAAATGAGTCTGTTCCCACTTCATTTATTAATTCTAATACAAATGAATGTATTCTAGACCAGATAGATTTTTTCCAGTACAAAGCCGGAAAGACACAACTGACCCAAGGATAATTGCAGTCAGTTATAGAAATCTGGGTTCCCATATCAGCTAAGGAGTTCTTGGTATTTGTACTGACTGATTTCTTTGCAGCTTCTTTGCAACTGAAGCCACTTCAATGGTAAATGCAGCAAAAATGTGTTTTAGCAAGCGCGGTCGGAAGACATCTTACAGCCCTCTCTCTGTTGACACGCAAATTGATGTGAAGAAACCTCAAATGAGCTCGAAAACAGCTGATTCATACCGATCAAAGGAGAAGAGACAGCCTTTAAAGGGGTCTGTACGTGGGGTTTGAATGAACTGATGATTCCTTTGTACTTGTTGAGTACTTGATTTGAATTACAAATACAGTACACTCGTTAGTGCTTGTCTAGTACTTCTTGATTCTATTGCGTTATTTCTGGGATTCTTAGTTAGTACTATAATTCAAATATTCCTAATCATCACATTGTTTTAATTAAAAATTCAAGAAAGTAGGTTTCATCCGTCCTCTGAATAGTTTTCAACAGAAAACTCCTAGGTATAGCGATCGCAGGGATCGTTCTATTTCTAGCAGGAAACACAATCTGAATTCTGAAATCATCGATAAACCTCCAGAATCCCACAGCGTGTTCGACGAAGCTGTGGTTGTTACTCTAACCAAAGTTGACGAATGGGTACAGGTCGTAAGCGAGAAACGATATAACGATATAAAAAATAATCCACCTTCCACTAAAAAACAACAAATTAGTCGAGAAATTGAAGGCCGATCACAGGGGCAGTTTTGTTACGCTTCATAGAACCAAGGAGAGTGAAGTTCTTAACCAAGAACTTGGTTTGAACGTGGCATTGGGCTAATAAAACAGCTACTAGATCAACTTATGCCTCACGATATCTCCGGAGTCATCCTGCTAGAAATGTATATATTAGGTTGTAGATCAACAACGTAGATGCTCTATGTCGAATGATTGGAGGCCTACTCTTGTTAGACGGGAATGGTGTGACGAACAAGCTAACGTCGAAGTCACACCTCGTGGTCAGCACCTGACAAGGACTAACCCATTGACGTATCAATGCACTATAGATGCTTTGAAAACTGTGCAACACAAGGGATGTTATTACATAAATTATATCAGATAATGTAGATATATGCTGAAGTAAGACCACCACCGCATGGGTCAGTTCATGGAGTGCGATGAACTTATAATCGTTGGCTGTTTTTGATCTTGACAGGGATCGATGATCATTTCGATATCCAGTGACCCAAGTGCCAGATTATTTGGCTAGGGATTAGTGATATTTCACTGGTAGTCAAGCGAACTTAAAACCAAATCAAACCAGGCTGCTTAAAGTAGCATTTAAATCTCCAAAAGAACGAGACTAAATTTTACAGGTTGGGCATAAAGGGTTCAGAACCTTTTGTCCGTAAGGACTTGCGGTTGGAAGACCGGGAAGCCGAAAAAGAACTACAACTTAGTTTAGATGCTGGTGAAAAGAACTTAAAAATTGTAAATTTTCGGGTTGTGAAGCATCGACAGAGTGATACCGAGGCCGCTCTGGGTGAAAAAAGAAGCCATCTAAATAGGCTCCGTATCTGTTACACTAATGCCCGAAGCTTGTTCAATAAGCGATCTGAACTAAGTGTACAGACTGACTCCACAAAGCCAGGCATAATCGCCGTCAGAGACTTGGCTGATTCAGCCTATAGATAATGTGGAACTTGATGATGAGGGTTTTACGTTGGTAATAGCCAACAGAATCCAGAAGCGTGGAGGGAGGAGTAGCTACATTCATTGGGAATGCTATCCCATTTGCCAATTATTGACAGTGTGTCTTATGGGAGTGGGACGTGTGAATTAGTTAGTTTCCGCTTGAAATGCAAGGGTCACGAGCTGCTGTTTGGTTTGTTCCATCGCAGTCCAAGCTGTGAGGTAAATGATGTCCTGCTAAACAGTCTAAATACTTGATCACAAAGTGGTCGATATCTAATCTTAGGGGACTATAATGCGAAAATGGTAGACTGGAAAAATCTGCGAACTGAATTGTCGGATGATTCCTTCGAGCAGGAACTAGTTGATGCGGATATCACATGTGCCCTAGCGCAACATTTGAGAAAGCGACCAGGTACGACACGGACTCTGAATCATCCTTACTAGATCTTATATTGACTCATTATGAGGATGACGTTACGAACCTCGATTACATGCCACCCCTAGGTAAAATTGATCACGCAGTATCGACCTTTGGCTTCCGTATAATTGTCTAACACGAGCACGCGTCAGCTCAATAGAGACCTAACTTCTGGAAAGCCGACATACAAGATACCATGCACTCAGCATCGTTAGTAGATTGGACAATAAACCCAGAGTCCCTAATTGAAACGGCATGGGACGTATTTCGAAATTTCTACTTAAAAGTTACCGCACCCCAAATCATTTGGACTACACCAAGGGGGTAGAGAAACTCTCCACCTTAGTTCTGTAGAAAGATTCGCACCCTTCTCTGTAAAATACGAAAAATGTGGAATATATCTAGGTTAACGGGGACTAATGAGACAAAATCTCAGTATCGAAAAGCTCATAATAAATGTGCGTCGATTCTCCCACAGTCTAAAAGGCTGTACAAATAAAAAACCGTCAAAGAATCCATAGTTTCGTATATAAACCGAAGGAAAAAACAACAGAAAGTATTTCTCGCACTAGGGGGAGACAGTACTGCTTCATATTTAGTGAAAGATGACTTTGGTAAGGCTCACGTATTCTCAAACTACTTATTCAATATATATATCATAGAAACGCCTTTCGCATCGGTCCATACAAATCCTCCCACACACACTGGATAGCGTGACCATTAAAGAACTCGATGTCTTTGGTCTGCTAAATAAGCTTGACATAGGTAAATCCACGGGGCCCGATGAAATGCATCGTTGGTTACTAAAGGAACTAGCTAACTTCATCGCGAACCCT